AGATGCAGGACAAACTATTGGTACCCATTGAAAATCAAGTCTAAAATGAAGATCAGAAACTCGTTCGCGGTATTGCGGCCAGTTTGTTTATTCATTGTCCCGGTAACACCTCTATATATTAGTGAGAATTTTGAATTTATAAGTTCAAGCATTGATATGAATATTGTTAGAAATATGATTTAAATTGCTCTATTTACACTTTGAAACAGATATTAATGGTGGTGTTGCTGCCCGGCTTGATAATTCCCTTCTGGATTAGGATTACAATGATAAAAAATGAAGTGAATTTAATTTCTTACAACATCAGTCAACAACTACTCTCTGCATTAATTGAAAACACTGCCTCATTGTTTGATTCAATCAATGCATCGTCTGTCAATTTAGCACGATCTTTAAGCTCATCGTTGGAACAAGATGAACTGCAATTCTCAAAGATTGAATCCGAGGTTGGTATATATCTATCTATCAAATTTAGCATTTGGTTTGTGACTAAAACAAAAAAAAGCTAAAATCTCGATGTTCTTGTTTGAATTATGTAGGTGGCGTCTACATTATTTCTAGCATTATCAACAATTCCTCACCTATCACAGATTTCATTTATCTCATTAAACGGTTTGTTCTTCGGGTACTATACAAGAGGAGATAAACTATTTGCTATATTTTCCAACTCTACATTTTCTTCCACCGGAAATGATACAACAAAGTACAGTTGGTATACTCAGGCTGCAAGTCGTGAGACTGGAAAACTATATGGTGAATCAATAAAGTTACCTCCTTTTGATGTAATCAATTCAAGTTGGTATCATGAAGCATTGAATGGTACAAATGGCTATGCTTCCATAGGATCCCAATGGGAAATTTCTCAAGATTCTCTATTTCTCAGTACCACGGGTATGAATGGAAAAGGGGTAGTGTCTTTAGGATTTTCAATGAAATCATTGATTAATTTCTTCATTGAAATAACTTTCTATAATGGAAGCTTATATCTTGGAACAAAAGATGGGAATGTACTCACTGGAGGGATTCCAAAAACTCGTATGATCTTGAATGAAAATCAAGTTTCATTTCAATTACTAAGCCCTAATGGTGATGAAGTTGGAACTGTTGGAAATGTAAAGTGTCGGGCCGATGATGGTACATTTCGAACCTCTACATTAAGCATATGGAAGAAGAAGTATGTGGTTAACTGTTCACCAGTTGAAATTGCTGGAGTGAAATTGGTATGTTTCATTATTTATATAAATTTAACTATAATATTTCCTTTTAAGACGTATTCATGAATTATCTTGAATACATATTTATTTAAATCAGATACACAAGGCAAGCATATGTTTGAGGTGTTAAAATTTCATTTGAATTATAGGTATATGTGCTAGCTTTACCTGAAAACTCTGTGGCAGTTGTCATTCACAAGAACATAAAATTTGCCTTCGTGCTACTTATGCTTATCTTCGTTGATATGGTCATCATCATATTCACTTCTGTGTCATTGAATGTTCGAGCTGCAATACGAGAGATGGAGTTATGTATTGCGCTAATAAGGCAAAAGGAATCGACTGAACAAGCGGAAAGGAAGAATGTGAATAAGAGTCTTGCATTTGCTAGTGCTAGCCACGATGTACGCGCATCTTTAGCGGGCCTTACAGGTTTGATAGAAATATGTAACTATCAAGTTGTGCCTGGATCAGAATTGCAGACAAATTTGACACTAGTGGAAGCTTGTGCAAAGGACCTTTTAGGTTGGTACAGTTTCAGGAATAATATTTATGAGCAAGTTTGGCTAAGCTTAGCCCTTGTTTGAGACCCATTTTTTGGGATAGAATGAATTTTTGAATATTGTATTGATGGGAAATGTGTTGTTAAAAAATAAGGAAAAGTTTTGGATGTACGTGTAATATTATTTTATTGAAGAATGTGTGGTTNATATGCAGTCAAGCACCACGAACAACTTTCTGAGACTCTCAAGAGAATCAAACAGAAATTAAACTTTTCACACCAAAACTCTTTAGGTAAATTTGATATTGATTCATTAAGGGCATCTAGTACTCGATCAAAGGATGTGCCCTTTAGTTCACTAGATGGTACCAATAATATTCTACCCTTTCAAAGACAAGATAGTACTATAAGTTTTTCGAGCTTCGTTTTGATTGTGATCGATACAGGCGCCGGGCCATTTCGTGATATTAGTAGGGCTGTGGCTGAATTCAGAAGGGACCTAAGCAACAACTGTTGTAGTAGAGTAGTTTGGTTAGATAAACCAGGCACCAATTGCATTAATTTTCATGGCCTTGACAAGGATAAGCTACCTGAAATGGATTTAATCATATCAAAGCCACTCCATGGCTCCCGTTTAAAACAGACTATTGGACTTTTACCGGAGTTTGGTGGGACAATAAAGGGTATGGCACTGAGAAGAGGAGAAAACCCATACAATTCTGATAAGTTTCTACCCGAATACAGCACTTCACCTGCAGCCAATAAGACGCACATAAGGCAAATTCCTGAAAAATCGTCCTCAGAAAATACTCCTAGCCAGAATGGAGAGGAACTTTATGTCCCAAGAAAATTGTATCTAGGTCCAAGACTCCCAGTCGAGTTTGCACGAAGAAGAGGGGATAATACATACACTGCAAAAAATATTTTGCCTCGTCAAATTCATCATGAATCCCGAACTTCAGCTACAGTTGATATGAGTCAGAATAGGGCTATGACAGATAAATTATCTCGGGAGTGTCTTCCATTACAAAAGGGCGAGGACATGAGCAGTAAAAAGTTATTGACAGGGAAAAAAATCTTGGTGGCAGATGATGATCCCATCGGGCGCAAAATAGCAACAACTTTTGCTTCCCAGTTAGGTGCAAACACTTTTTCATGTGTAAATGGGGAACAAGCTCTTGAAGCCGTGTACAAAGGTCTCATGGATCCACACATAACTGGTGCTTCCAAGATTTCATTACCTTTTGATTATATCCTAATGGATTGTGAGGTAAAATAAGACAAAATTAAATTCATCATTTACATGCGCATCTTCTTGTAATAAATCCATTACTGTAGGCGCATTTTTGGTAGTGTTGTTTCAGTTTTGTTTTTGCTCTTGATGTATTAGCAGATGCCATTGATGGACGGGATAGAAGCAACAAGGCGCATCAGAGAAGTAGAAGGAAATTATGGTGTCCACACACAAATCATTGCACTAACTGCACATGAAAGAGGAGAAGTAGAGATAAACAAGATGGTAGAGGCTGGAGTAGATGCTTTTTTAACCAAACCGCTCAACAAAGAAAATCTTTTGAGACTCTTGTTTTCTCCTTAGTATATTAATTAGAATATGTTATATGAGTTGTTAATTAAGCCCCCGTTTGACCCCCATTACCTGAAAATGAAAATGGGGGGAATAGTATTTTTTAGAAAAATGAGTGGTTGAAAAAGAAGGAAAAGTTTTTGATTTACGTGTAATATTATTTTATGAAAGATTGTGTGGTTGAAAATAGGAGGGAGAAAAATGAAATGTAATGGAATTGAATTTAATGGGGATCAAACGGGGGCTAAGACACAGCAGTTATAAATCTTGTGAGATCAATTATAATTTCTTTCTTGGAACATTTTTGTAATTTTGAGGTAATATTTTTTTCTTTTGGTAAAAAATAGGCTTTCTTTTGCCTTGAGCTTGTTTGGTTACGCTCAGCGATTACAACATGATAATTTTTCTTTCAACCCGCATTCTGCCTGTTATTTTCATTGCACTCAATCTGAATATTAACCTTATGGACATAGTCACTAATAATAACCCTTAATAATAGCCTTTACAGTTTCATCTTATATTTTCTCTTCAGTCCTTAGTTTTAGAATCAAGTTTTATTATCAAGAAAAGGAGTCACGTGTTTAATTTTAACTCCATTTTTATGATTGAATTGCAGAGTTAATGTTTTTCTGTGCCAAATAATTTCTAGAATTTACCCTTTCTTGATTCTTCTCTACATAAATGGCATCAGATTCATGAATTCAAGCTTTCTTCTATACATATATATGGAATCAGATTCTTTTCCTTCCAATGAAAATTGAATCCTCCATACTTTAACACGCCATAATTTTAGTTTCAAACTCATCAACTAGCCAATTTTCCAGAGAAGGTTATTTCCAGTACGATAATGAGGGTGCAACTGCTCTCCCCGACAGAGTTATTATTTTCAGCTTCACAGGTACGTATGCATCTTGTTTTACGTATGAGTCTAATTATCCTATTCACTTATACTCTGATGAAACTTGTATTAAGCCATTCACTAGGTTCATATGAAATATATGTTTGAGGGAGGCTGTTTTTTCATTTGTGATAAGACACAGCTTTATCATCTCAATTTTTATTACGGTGAAAAATCTGCAGCATAAAGTACATATAGCTGTCCTGTGAAGGTTGAATCATTATAAATGTGTATATTTAGGTTATGATGCTCGGACTCGGGTATGGGTATCGGATATGGGTACGTATCTAAGTGTCGAATATTTTATTTTAAAAAATGTAGGGTACGGGAATATGACTAAAAAGAGTCCAAATTTCGAACACGGGTACAGATGGATATGTTTTTCAAACTTCAAATTTTTTTCCTGTAGAAATTTGTATGTAAAAAGTGAAATAATAATTAAGTGACAAATTGTTAAAAGATAGAACATGTAGCTTAAAACTATCTAAAAGTATACTAAAATAATAAGATTTTGTTATAATATATACTTTCAAAAATTAATATTAAGTTTAAGAGTTTTTTTTAACATATTTTAATTGTTTTTTAATAATTATATTTCAATAAATAAAAAATAAATGGGGCAAATAAAGTTATAAATATAGGTCTACATGTATAGAAATAAAAGTCCATTATGAACCTAGAAGCCCAATAAAAGCCTAGTCATTAACCTAGGTCTATTCACTAGAAATAAAAGTAACCCAAAAGCCCAGTTATTAACCTAGGTCCATTCACTTTCTCTCACTTCGATTCTCTTCCTTTTCTCTACTTCGGAGGCTCTAATTGCTGCAGTCGCTCCCCCTCTGTTGGTTGAATCACCTGAGACCTCCTCTTTCCTGGTTACGTCACTGCCGGGCCTAACTCTTTCCTTCGTAGCGCAAAAACGGGAAAGAAGAAAAGGGAGAGAAGAAAAAAAGAAAGAAGGGAAAACCTAGCCATGTCCGGTTGAAAAATGCGAAGTTCGCTCCATATTTTGTGCTCGTACCCCTGTCGTGTGGACATGGGTAACCCCTGGACGGAATGAAGAGTCCAAGCATCACAGTATTTAGGGGTTGCCTGGCAAAGCTTTTGATAAATATTTTCTATCATCCATTATTTACATATGAGTTGAAGGAATTGAATAATAAGTAAAATGTATATACCAATTTATAGTGGTAATGTAACATGAGCTCAACTAAACGTTACTATATATAACATGTCCTCCATGATGTCATTTGGTTGAAATTCTCTTAAAGAAGTACGAGAGCATGCCTAATCACGAAATGAATAATTTTAGTGAGATGTACTTGGATTTGCCCTTGTGTAGCTGGTTGAAATTAATATATTGCTTGTGTGACAGCTTTTGATAAAGGTGGATGAGATGTATGATTGGAAATTGATAAAAACTGTAAACTCTATGAATAGATGTTCATTAGAAGAAGAGTAATTCTATTTATACATAATTGTGTACAGATTAATGATGTGAAAAAGAAAGAAAGTGATAGAAAAGAAAGAAGAGAAGTACCATTACTCTTGGTAGAGATATATATGTCAACCATTTTACTTATGGTTACCACTGTCCATAATTTGCAATTTCTCCAACATATTGGAGAAGTGGTCTCAAGTTGCATAAACCCTAGGTTAATTATGACGATGATCCACAACTTAATTCAAGTTAAACAATGTGAAAGAATCCACGTGAAAGTGATAATATGAAAAACGAGTAGAGCAATCCATGCAAAAAACCAAAATCCACAGAGAACAATAACTGGAGATTCAATAGTCTTAATCAGCCGCAAAAAACAGAAGATGAATCTTTGATAGGGCTGGAAATATGGCTACTAAAAATGCCAATCTTCCTTAACTTTAAACAATGTCCTCAATTGTTTGAGAATGTAGACTGAACACATACAAGGACGTTGTCTGATGCTAACGTTTTGGCTTATATTAGAATTTATAATTTCAATGGATTGACACATAAACAGTGAAAAAGTAATTTTTATAATTTTTTATCCAAATTACAAAGAGAATAATGCTCTAGTTATGGAGTTGAACTTGAAATTGGTTTATGTTCAGGAGGCATGGCTGAAGATGCAAAATTTTTCCCTCTTTTTCTAAAGATTTAATCATAGTTTTATTTTTCATTTGATAATCATAAAATAAACCTAGAATTCTTGAAGATAGGAGTTCAGAGTGATTGAGAGTCAGTAGACCCCAGATGTAAAGCTTAAAGTAAGAGAGAGTTCACATTATAGATTGACTTCTGAGTAAAAGGAAAAGGAGCTAGTACAGGTCGAGAGAAGGGGGATCTTGTTTAATTACAGTTTTTCAACTTATATAATCGATGAAGAAATAAAATTTACAAAGTTATGCCTTTCAATATGGCGGAAAGAGTAGTAGATTCATTCTCTCTCTCCTTCAAGAACTCCTCGAGAAATTGTAGCGCCCTCCAATTTGTCTTACTTGTAGTAGTTCATCTGATGAGTTGAAATTCAAGTTCTTGGCAATAGGATTTCAGTATGTGATCCTACTTTCCCAGCTAATATTGCAATCCTCAGCCAAGCTTGAAAAATTGTAGGAAAATTATATGTGAGCAACATAACTGTTGATGTTATAAGGTACACAGTTACCTTTGATCCTGAAAAGGCGAAAAGTACAAGAAAGGGACAGATTCAAAAGCGAAAAATACAAAAAAGTTACCTTTAAAAATATTGTCAACAGTTCATTCACAAGTCAGTTGAATTCTTGACAAGGGCTGTGGAAGCTCCCTGAACTTGTACCTTAGCATAACTTTCGGAGAAGTTATCAAGCCCTAATGAACTCAGAGCGCAATAAACGTCATCTCCAATCACCATTTTTCGATTCTCCTATTCACATTTGTATGATGATTCATTGGTTACAAAACTTATAAACTCTCAAACAAATTCTTTCTTTGGTATCTTTGGAAATTTTGGCATTCTCGGGTAGGATGTGTTTCATGATCCGCCACACGTTGGCTCTGGGTGGAAAATTATCTTGCTCGTCAAACATTTGAAATAATGGGATCCGAATTCTCCAAAGTAATCTGATTGAATCCACTAGATTTCGAATGCACAAATACGGTTTGAAAATTGAAAACCATAAAAGGGTTTAGCCATGACAAGTTCTAATCTTGATTATAATATTTTTAGATAGTTTAAGATTAATGGACTGCATCGGTGCACGTTTGATTGCTCTCTAATGGATGTTGATCCAACTAATTAATAAGAAACCCTAAATTTTTATTAGCCTAAAAGGGGGTTGATGAACTGCTTCCTTTTAAAGGTTATAAAACAGAGTTTCTAAGAATGTGAATTGTTTGTATGGATGTTCTATTTGATAGGCAATTTGTTTATGACTTTTTTTTATACTTCTAAAAATTTAAATGTAGTGACCATATTCTGTGTATGTGACCTAATTTTATAATGGCGAATTGACATTTTGTGTAATAATAATTATTTGACGAACACACAATCACGTGATGTACAATGAATGTATTTTGTGTTTTGCACAATAT